GCTAAAAATCAAAGTCAAATTTTATTAAATGCATTATTAAACATTGATTTAATTTGAGTAACAAATGGTTTTCAGAGTTAAAACAAAGAAGAAAGAGGATAAGAAGCAAAAGGAGCCACGAGTCTCGTTCATGACTAAGACCGAAGTTGATCATCTCGAAGACGGCTATCGTTGGAGAAAGTATGGCCAAAAAGCAGTCAAAAACAGTCCTTATCCTAGGTAATAAAATCAATCTAAATTATAGTACTATATTTTTGTTTTTTGAGAAAATATAGTACGACATATTGAAAAAAGTACAATGAATCGATAAGATTTTAATGTGTCTTTAATTGTTGTTTATTGATAGTTTAGTTTCAATTTCTACTTTGTCATTGTTTTTAAAATTTGAAATTTCTTTTCCTACTTGTAAACATCTTTTTCAAATGATACGGACTATCGATAGACATTTTTTACGCGGAATAATAACAAATTAATTTTCTGTTTGACACATGCAAAAATTAGTTAACTCTTAGATTTATATTACGCTTTAAGTTTTTATATTTAATTTTTAATCATAGTGAATCATATTTTTTGTTCAAAGTTACATTGAAATTCTAAAATGGTAGCTTTTTTATAAACAAAAAGAATGGAGTTCATCTAAAAAGACACCTATTATAAAACGGAAAGTTTTTTTTTACATAAAGTAATACCTTTTCACATTTACATATATACATTTATAAATCTCATCAAATTTAAACTATTATTTTTTATCAAACTTTTAGTAATGATATTTTGGTCAAGTTCTTTGTGGAACCACTTGTCATGATGTTTTAAAGAACTACTTTTCAATATATAATTTTTTCTTTCTTACTTTTTAGAATATAGCTATATATTACCATATAAGATTCTGAAATTGTTTCAAAAGCCTATCAATGTTTTTTTTTTTCGTTAAAGTGTCTTCATTTGTCAAGCCTATCAATGTTTAAGTCTATCAATTTTGCTTATAACAATATAACAAAATTTTCATTTAATATTGTAACCGACATTATAAGTCACATGTTAAAACAGTAGTCTTTTACGAGAACAGGAGTTACTATAGATGCACGACGCAAAAGTGCAACGTGAAGAAGAGAGTTGAAAGATCTTACCAAGATCCAACGGTCGTGATCACAACTTACGAAAGTCAACACAACCATCCGATTCCGACCAGTCGCCGCACGGCAATGTTCACCGGATCCGTCGCATCAGATTACAACTCATCGTCGTTATCTCCAATTTCCGATTTCATCATCAATACTCCAAGAAGCTTCTCACATGATGATCTCTTCCGTGTACCGTACGCTAGTGTGAATGTAAACCCTAACTATCATCATCAACAACAAAACCAAGACTTTCACCATGAGAGTGAGTATGAGCTTTTGAAGGAGATGTTTCCTTCAGTTTTCTTCAAGCATGAGCCTTGATCAC